CTATTTAGTTTTTCATGACCAATCTGATCCAGGACCACACTGGAAACCAGTTAGACACATTGGTTAGTCTCAATGGTTAGAGCTGGATACTTCTGAGGAGAAACTGTGATTGGTTCAACTGGTTTCCAGTGTGGTTAGGGACCAGAAGGGCCACAGAAAGGTAAATTGAGAAGGTAAAGCAAAAAGAAAATCAAACTGCAATAAGAATTTCAAAATGCAAGGCTGACAAGAAAATGGAAATAGAATAGGGATTTACATTTTTTTTTATGTGTGATTAGGAAATGTTTGTAAAATTAGATTTATGAATAGAGGTTTTTAAATATTGATTTAGAAATAGTTTTAAAATACATTTCAATTTGCAGTTTTGTTTGTTTTTTTTTTTACAATGGATTAATACATTTTACAATTCTTCTTACAACTCTTCCTTGGACTGCAAAACAATAACTGTGTACATAGAAAATGACCAGCAGCTATGGCAGTTTTTCTCCATACCCTCTTGAAAACAGCTACAAAAACATGGCAACCCTGTGCACAGCATATGGGTGTACCGTCCATCAAGAAAGAAAAGACAGCATCTCATTTTCATCTACAGAGGTCCAGAAGAGCGAGTGAGCCGAGTGGCTGCCATGTAGAGACAGAGCTGGCAACCAACTGTAGCTAGCAGAATTTGCAGCGATCACTTCTTAAACTGTTAGTTGCTATGCTAAAATTATTGTTGTAGAGAGTTTTTTCTTTAAGATAGATGTGGAAATTAATTCTGATGGTAGTCAAAAAAATTGGAGTTTTAACGGATATGAAGGGTTTCCTCCAGCGTATTATAGGCGTGACAGGCAGCCAGGCTCCATCCCCCGCCAGAATAAGTATCATCTTTGTATTTTAAATGTGTTTGAAAACAACATATATCAGTGAGTAAGGTATTGGAGAAAACATCCTGGTCTGAATAGCTAACACACAAGTTTTAATTATAGCCTGACACGCATACCACATGCCCCTCCTCCCAGCATTGTGTTTGATACTGTGAGCTTTATGCATTTTTTTTATTTTACCACAGGTCAAGACAAATAGAATATAACATGTCCTTTGTTCCCAGTAAAAGTTGGTGGATTCGCTTTGTCACTTTTTTCCCACTTTAGTGACAAAGTCACTAAAGTCACTAAAGTGGGGGAAAAAAGGAAAATAAATTGCGCTGTACCTCCACTTAAAACCTACTATGCTATTTGGGCATGAGCAAAAATTCTGCAAGCTCCCAGAAATACAGAATACTCTTGATAAAAGGATTTTAAACCACACCATGTAAAGGTGAGACAAACATTTATTTTTACCCTTTTGAACTTAGAAATACTTTACAAATAGTAAGAAAAATAGAGAAAAACATAATACTTCAAAATGAAGGCTGAAACTTCAAAATACGTCTATTTTAACCTTTCTGATCAGTAGAGCATTTTCAAATTTTAAACCACCAGTAATTATGTGTTTTATATTTCAACTATATTCACACCTATTAAATGTATAAATTTGATTGCAATAGTTCAAATGCATAAAAATAAAAACTCTGGTAGTATTTTTAGCCATTTTATATATATTATACTGATACAAGTAACAGCTGCCTTTTTTTGCCAGAGGAGGGGAAAAAACAGGCAGCTTTAAACAAAAAAAGGTAATTTTTTAACAAATGTGCAGTACATTGTCAAAGTAATGTCTGACAGACGTCAAAGTTTGAATATGACAAGGGTAAGACCAGGATAGATTTGAAACACACCTATCTGTTCACATAAAGTAGGAGTGTCCATTAATCTGGTTAAATAAAACTGCTGATGTTATAACAGTACCTGTATATTGAAAAAGAGGTCCGTGGAGTTAGCCTTGTTTTACATATGTCAACATTTGCATAGGATTTAAATTTTCAAGGAAACAAAATGAGTAGATACAAATCATTCTCTTTTTTGATGGTTTTTGTACCTGTTTTTTTACTTGTTTTGTACTTTAACAACATTGATCCGGAGAAAAATACAGGTATGTTTAATTTGAGAGTGTTGCTTCATATTGCTTTGCTTTAAATAAGCGTGATTAACTCCCATACTGCTTGTACTGAAGATCTCGCCACTTCTTTGCCAGTCACTTTTATTTCTTTAAATTTTTTTTATTATTATTTATTTGTCTTCTTTTTATTGTCTATCTTGCTAGCAGTCTTTTGGTCTATCTAAATATTTTTTTTAAAGGGCCAATATTTCTATGTTTAAATTCAAAAATGTCAATGTAATTTTACATTCATTACATAATTAGAATAGGCAAAAACTAATTAAATGAACAGTTGGAAAAATATTTCTTTCATTTCTATTATTAGTTATTATTTAACACTTAAATTTACCACATTTCCATGTGGCAAATGTAACATAATTACATTTTATCTCTTGCTTTAGAAATAAAAACCATTATAGTTATAAAAAATCCAGTGATCTGAATTTGGATTTGTGCAGTTATCTACTGCAGACTTTTAATATGTACTTTGCCACTTGATTAAAAAAATATATAAAAATAATTTTCATTCTTGGATATGACGTTACCAGGTACAATTAACGTGACTTTAGTTCAGATAGTTTTTGAATGATACATAATAATTTAACATAGGCTAAGATTACACTTAAGATTGGCTTGGGAAATAGGCGATCCACATCAAAAAAAGAATTTTATCATGGGTTTGGTTCCAATTGTCTTGTTCTTGGCCCAACAAAGGCTGACAACTGGCCTGGTGCCGGGGCTCTGATCTGTTTGATTAAACAAGATGAACCTGTCTGTTCTAAAAATGTCCATGTCCATAACAGAAAAGAATGTGACATTAAGACAAGCACAACGAAAAGAGCTAAGAAGAAAGATGTGTGAGCTTGGCAAAGAGACTCTTTATGGAAAGATACTTACAACTGGAAAAAACTTTGAGAACTTCATTGTGGACGACAGCCGCAAAATCCTCTACTGTTATGTTCCAAAGGTAACATCCACCCAAATACACCTGTGTTATTGTACAGTTTCTTTTCATTTTCAGCTGATTTTTTAAACTTGTTTAATCCATTAATTTTGAGATTTAATTTTATCTTAATTTGACAAATTGACCTAGTTTGGCCCCCATGGAAATATCACCTTAAAAATAAATAAACTTTGAAAGTGATTGTTTTGTGATTTAAAGAAGATTGTTGCTTAATTTATTGCAAAATCCATATTAAAAACTCTTTGGAAGATAAACTCTTAGGGAACCACTGCTTTAAGGTGTCATACCCAGAGGCGTAGCCAGAAAATCTTTATAAGGGTGGCCAGGCAATAACCAGTGTACACTGAGGGGTGGGCAAAAGCGGATCGGCACCAGAACCTCAAGGTCAATCTACACTGTTGCAACAGGAAAATGAACAAGCAAAACATCCATATTTCCTAAATAAAGACAAACTATACTTTCCTACAGCCTTTGCTAACAAAAAAATGCATATATTTAAACATCCATGCTTTTTAGATAAAAGGTAAAGTGTATAAAACTCTTTCAGGGTTGAGTTCTGGGGTGAACATCTTTTCCATTGTCATTACTTACCTATCATCCTGCATAAAATTGATATTTACAAGTACTTATATCTACATAAACTGATTATTTAATTATTTTTATAAAATTATTTATTTATCTAAGAATTTACTAAAGACTCCTAGATGATGCAGAGACAGAATTTTCTCTTTACCCCATATAACACAAAATCTAGTTCTGAAAAGAGCAGCAATTCTGTACTTAGTTAGTATATTGATCTAAATAATTAATTAATATCAAGTAATATTAATATATGAAAAAATAGTAAGTAATATATGATGAATTAAAATGTTTAGAATGTTCCCCTTGATTATTAGGGGAGAAACAATGGTAGGGGTGGCCAATGATTGGCTAAGAGTGGGCATGGCCACCCCTGGCCCTCAATCTAGCTCCGCCCCTGGTCACACCTTAAAAAGATTAGCACGCCTTACACAACAGTAAACACTGTGGAAATCAGAAAAACAATTGTTCAGCGGGAAACTCTTTCCCTAACTTTACCAGAACTATAAACTTTTTTTGATCTCTGTTTTGGAAAAAAAATTAGGCTCAAACTTTAAGAAAGTTTAACACAGGCTATTTTGTTTGATAAGTTTTTGTGTGAATTACTTTTGTCCTTTGTGTTCTTGAATTCCATATGAATTCCCAAGTCTGGCACTTCATAGTTACTCTAATAGACTTAAAGAATAAGTCACAGACAGTCTGTTTATCAGTAATTTAGTTCTAAATATGGGTTCAGGACTACTTATCTTGAGCAGGGGTTGAAGATTGAAGTACATTTAGCCATGTAGTCTGTTCTTCTGGATGTGGCCCCTCTCTTTGGAATTCCATCACCAAACAGAAATCGTTTTTTTGCCAGTAAAACAGCCTTAACAAGGCATGCTGGTTTAATTTCTGTGATGTTCACTGTTAATTTAACATTGTTTTAAGCACAGGTTGCCTGCACAAACTGGAAAAGGATCATGTATGTCTTGAAAAAGGGTGAGCCTTACATCGATCCTCTATCTGTTCATCGCAATAGTGTACATCAAACAAAAGCACTGGACTATCTGACAGACTTCAGTCCAGAAGAAAGGGAAGTAAGTAAATATGTTTATGCAATGGTCAAATTTAAGGTATCAAATCTTGCAATAATAAAATACAGCTGTAATTTTCCATCTTTTCTCAATTGCTTATTTCCTTAATGCCATACAAATACTCACCAAAAGTATGGGTAATACTTTTATGTGGATAAATATATGGATAGTATAATAAACAGAAATAAAAAAGAACAAAGCTATCTCTGCCATAGCACTAATACCAATAGTAAATAGTAATTATTAGTGAGGCGGCAGAATGATTTGTCTCAAAAGTCCAACAGAGAAAAGATTAGTTTTCTTATACATTCTTTTACATCAAATAATACCCCACAGAAGAAAATATATGCTTCATCCTGCCTCATCATCAAAATGGCTCTTTGGATATGAAAGGTTGCAGACCATGGTCTAAAGGAAGTCTAATCCACAGATGATTTGCAAAATTTAAGAATACTCAGTAAACCCAATGCTTAAATAGAAGGTACAAGGACATCTAATAAAAGAGGCCGAACATTAACAGCTTTCAAAACAAATAACAAAACAAAAGTTTTAAGTTGAGTTCTAAAATGGACAGGAAACCAGTGAAAAGGAGATAAGGCAGGGGTGATGTGTTCACTCACCTGTGTTCAGTAATGCTACAGATACTTCGATAAGACAGAGAAGCAATATTATTAAGAGTATTACAATAGACAGGTCCAAAATAGAGAAGAAAAAAAACATTGATGGCCGTTTTTCAAGTTGGGACAGTTAAAACAAAGATTGCTTTGGCCAGTAGATGCAGATGGTGAAAACATTATTAATTGTAATGTGTGCTTACTACACATTTTTTTTTATTAATCTTTCTCTGTTTGATATTAAAGTTTATATTTTGAAACTAAGCTCTAGATGGTTTTTTGTTTTTTCTACAGATCAGGCTGAGGACTTACACAAAGTTCCTCTTCGTTCGGGACCCATTTGTTCGCCTTATCTCTGCCTTCCGACAAAAGTTCCAAAGCATTGATGAACCCTTTTATAGCAATTATGGAAAGACAATGGTGAGACTGTACCGTAACCAGTCTGATCCTCCCAAGACACAGAGAGAGGTAATAGCTTTAGGATTGCAACCAACATTTTACAACTTTGTTCAGTATTTGTTGGACCCACGAACAGAAAGATATGGGCCCTTTAACGAGCACTGGAGACAAATGCACCGCCTGTGTCACCCCTGCATGTTAGAGTAAGAATCTTTTTCTTTCTGAAAGTGAAAGAAACATTTCTAAAAAAAATATACATATATATACATATATATATATTTTTTTTTTTGAAACAAATAACTTTAGAAACAGTTTTTTGTTTTTTTATAGGTATGATTTTATTGGTCACCAGGAGACGCTTGAGGAAGATGCTGGAGAGCTTCTTAAAATGTTAGAGGTGGAAAACAAAATTCATTTTCCGCCCACTAAAAATGCGACTACATCTGATTTCATCAAGGAATGGTTTAAAACGGTGCCTCTGGAGGACAGGAGGATGTTGTACAACCTCTATAAATGGGATTTCAAAATCTTTGGATTCAAAAGACCAGATGAAATTCTAGATAGTTAATATTTATGTTGAGGTTTTGGGTTTTTGTTTCTGAAATATATTGTGTAAATGGGATTCCCTTCTGAAGCTGCTACCCCGCGACCCAACCCCTGATAAGCAGAAGAAGATGGATGGATACAGTGTAAATAAAAACAATGCATCTGGATGGTTTTATTAAATAAGTATTTATGGCAGGTTGGGTTGTGTGTCCATAGGGCATTTAGGAGTGTATCATCTATATAATTCTTAGTACTATTTAACAGATTTTTATGCATGTTGTGCACTATGTTCTCTTCTTCTTTGTCTCTTTCTCTATGACCTGGACAGCAAATATTATGGTAGGATACACTTTACAAGAATTGTTGTACTACAAATGTTGCCACTGTCTTATGAATGTATTCGTACTAGTACAACATTGGCATTTAATTTGAACATTGACCACTGTTGAATAAAGGAGGCAAAATCTTTCAATATTTCTAATTTTTTGTTTGAAATTCACAAAAAACTACCAATACAAATAAAATGAGAGTAATCTCTGTTCATTTCCCAGTAGACGATTAAGCTTTCAGCAAGTCAAAATGGAAAAAAACTTTAAAATATTTAAGTAGAAACACATGACACTAGATTTATTGTCTTCAAACAAGGGCAGATAAAAACAAAATATGTACCTTAATAAAACCCCATACATTTGGTAAAATATATATTTTTTTAAATATCCAAAAAAAAGGCATAAAAGTCTAGTCTAGAACAAATGAGTTAGCATTTATTTTGTTTCAATAACTCACAAAATATAAAATCTTTGTTTATTATCAAATATTTATTGACAGAGCCCATTAGAAGCACTTTTGATGGTAGGAGGAAGCGGCCATACAGAATCTCTGAGCTGGTAGCTCAAAGCAGTAAAGCTCAGGGCTGCTGGCCTTCGTTATGGGAACTTCCTCTCTTTCTACTTATCTCTGATGGAGACTGTAGAGTGAAATCCTTCACCTAATATTTGGGCTCCATTGTAAAAATATTGACTACTGGAATTGACACTGTTTGTGTCAATGTAAGTACTAGTGTGGTATCAATCATAGCCAAGAAAATGCCTGGCCATACCTGCTCCTGCTCTGTGATTGATATTTACCTTAAACGTTCTTTGATATCTGTTGGAAGAAAAGGGGGTCATCTTACAATTAATCTATTTAGCATTATTCAAAGTCTGCAAACCCTTTTAGAAGTTCTCAGATTTTGACCAATCAAACTCACATGACTAGAAAAATATAAAAAATTTGCTCACTCCCCGTACCAAAAAAAACACCTCTATTGTTCCCAAATATGCTAAACCTGACCCTGCACATTGTTGCCTTGCACGTCATAGACTGTGATTGAACTCACATATCCAATATTTAACACATTATGTATGGCAAAAGATAATGTGCAAACCAAACGGCTGGGAGTTTTAACACGTCACAGTATGTTCCGGTCTGCATAAAAAGAAGAGAAACATTCTTGGGTCAATGGTCTTTTAAGAGCTGATCTAAAACAGGTTTAAGAGGACAATAAGAGAAGAGAATTCAGCACATTATCTGATCTGGAAAAAAAAACTTGCCTAGCAAAACATTCTGTTAAAGCAGCTGATGCAGGAAAACTGAAGCTGCTACTCTCTCAGGCTTTAAGCAGGTATAAAGTCTTCTGGAAGTCTGTTCCAGATAATTGCAGCATACTAGCTAGATACTGTTTCTCCGTGTTTGGTTCTATTTCTTGGTGTACTCATAAGCATCCTCTTGACAGGGAATGTTGTCCTTATTTTAAGGAATGTTTTACTTTGAATTTACCTCAGAGTTCCACAAACTGGTTGTTATCCAAACTATTTATCTTAAGACCAGTCACTATATGTTAGTTCACAACTGATTCATTTTCCATTGTTTGCAACAAAATGTTAACATTGTATCCATTCATGTTTTGCTGATATCAGTGACTGTAGCAAAGGAAGCAGAGCTCCTCAGTCTGCCTCCATCTTTCTTGTCCCAAAGAAGCCTCAAGTCACCTCATTTAATGGCAATCAGCCTGTTGCATTGACTCCCATCATCATTAAATGCTTCGAAAGGCCGATACAGTAGAAGAACACATCGTCTCCAGACTCCACCCAACATTCGAGCCATTCAAGTTTCCCTATCGATGGAACTGCTCCACTGAGTACAGGCTCCCCTCAGGGCTGCGTCCTGAGCCCCCGGCTGTTCACCCTGATGACACATGACTGTACCTCCAGGTTCACCACCAATCGCACCTTGAAATTTGCAGATGACACCACAGTGGTGGGCCTTATCAGAGATAACAATGGCAGGGACTACAGAGAGGAGGTGGAGCAGCTGGTGGGCTGACGTAGAGTCAACAGCCTGATCCTGAAGTTGAAGACAATGATTCCTGAAGTCGAGATCATCGTCGACCTCAGGAAGAACCGGCCTAACCACGCTCCACTGCTAAACAACAGCTCAGCTGTAAAGGTGGTCAGCAGCACCAAATTCCTGGGGGTTCACAGACAACCTCTCCTGGACTGTAAACACCACCTCGCTGGTCAAAAGGGCACAGATGTGCTTGCAGTTCCTGCAGAGGATGAGGAGAGCCCACCTTCCCTCACCCATCGTCACCACCGTCTACAGAAGCACCATAGGAACCAGTTCTAACCAGCTGTCTCACCGTATGGTGTGCAGGCTGCAGCACCAAAGACTGGAAGAACATGAGAAGAGTGGTTAGGACAGCAGAGAGTATCACTGGGGCTCTTCTTCCCTCCATTACAGACATTTCATCCCAGCGCTGCGTGTCCCAAGCCAGTAACATCATCATTGACCCCTCACACTCCCACCATGGACTGTTCTCCTTACGGCCCTCCAGGAAGAGACTTCGCAGCATCCGCTGCAGGTCCAGCAGATTCTGCAACAGCCTTTTCCCCACTGCCATTAGAATGCTGAACTGATGAAAAAAAAATTTTATCAAGTCACAGACTCTGCATCACACTGATAACACCAAACTAAAATACTGCATATTTGCACCATATATACTTGAAATGCTCTCAACTTCCATTTCAATGCATTTTCACACCATGTTTTTTCTCCCGCACTGTTTATATTTGATCACTGCTGCACTTTATGGAATAGAAATATTAATTTCTCTGCTAAGCTGCTGCTTATTTACTATCTAAAGCTTTAAAAAACAAAAATTTTGTTTTGTATACACTGTGTTTATACAAAATGAAAATAAAAAACTCTATAATTACACCACTGATTAGAATTTGTCAACATGAATTTTCTTTTTCTTCAATGAGAACAATGTAGTAAGAACAATTAAATTGGACAATATGAAAAAAAAAAAAAAAACAATAAAGCCAGCAGACTTTCTGAATGGCAGCTTATTAATCATTACAATTCTCAGCATAGTTTATTGCTTTACAGATGACTTAGCATTTAACTCAACTTTGAAACAATGTTAGTTTCTCTATATATTGCACCTAATCGGTTTGAAGATAATTTTGAATCAAAAATATTTGTGCGTTGTAACTTTGGAGCTTTTTTTGGATTTTTTTCTATCTTTTCATCATCACACAAAAGTTACACCTCTTGTGTATTTCACACAATAAAATGGAAATTAATTATTTAAAAATCATACATTGTATTTTTCTGGATTTCTGGAGTACCTATGATAAAAATTACAGTCTTCTACAAGCTTTGCAAGTGGGAAAACCTGAAAAAGCTAGAAACTTTCTTTCGCTTCTGCACATGGTCCACGGTGCAATGTAAAGACACCATTGATATTACATTCAATAGGTTATCTGGCCTAAATCGAAGAGTAGTGGCACACACATGTGGAGCTGTCCTTGAGCTGCCAAGCAACTATGTGTCATATCCTGAGTTCAGAAACGAGCTAGACAACATCTTTACAGGGGACTGTTTTACGATGGACATTCTGTAGCAATATGTACTTCAGTGTTATTGTCCTTTCAATTTGAGTCTGAAAAAATGTGAGTGGAGAACCCAGGCAATACTGTAAAAAAAAAATTATTTTAAAAAGAATTGCCTGTAAAAAACACAATGCTAGACAAAGTAATAGGAGTATTACATCACACCACCTTAAAATAAAATAGAAGTGACAAAAAGTTCAGAGTCGTTACTTTTTATTTCTGACAGCTCTACAACATAAAAGCTTGATTAAAAACAATGATTTAGTTAATCACAGTAGTTTGATGTTCTGTTTCTGGATTAAAAACTGCAATTGTTAACTTCTTTTCAGAAATTCCTGTTGTAGTATTTTCAAAAGGAGAAATGTACATTCCGAGTTTCAGAATAAACCAAATTCTAAAACTGATTTCATCCCCGTATTTTTCATACACACTACTGAAAAGCTTTCATACGAAAGCTTTTTAGAAGTATTGTGGATTATCCTCCCACCACCACGTTGTGTTAGTATTTCTTTTTCTTGCTTTATATTATATTACAGTTTGGTTATTTCTTTTAGACAGGTATTTTCTAATGGGTGCACACTTTAGTTAATGTCTGTCTGAATGGTTTATTTACACTTGTTTTTTTTGTTTGAGGTGCTGCTGATACAAACCAGCTGGAGGAGGAAATCTGGAGCATACCATTTGTTTTATGAAAGACTGACGGGTGATACTTGTTTCAAGTGGTTTTTAATTATTTTTGTCACTTAAATACTCACTTATTATGGTTTCTGCTAAGTAAAAGTTAGTTTTGATTTATTTGTTTCATAGAATGCTTAAGTTAATTTTGTATTTATTGGTTCTTTTGTTATATCGGGCCTCCCTCATGTGGTAGACTTGGGTTACTCCATCCCTATTTAAGCAGCCTTTAGTTCTTTGTTTGCAGGTCAGTTTTTTTGTTTGTGTTGGTTTCCTCAGTTGACCTCAGTTAAGTTGGGCCCAGATCCATGTTATTTTTTATTTAAGTTATGAGCCTTTGTTAACTATTTTTGACACAATTAAATTAAAGTTTTTTTTGTTTGTTTTTTTCAAATTTTGAACACCGTTT